TGCTAAAGCAGGAAGCCAAAAGATAACCAGAATAAAAGGCCAGTTTGGCCTTGGAGTACAAAATGAAGCAGGACACAGGCTGGCAGAATTTTGTCAAGAGAATATGATGGTCATAGCAAACACTCTTTTCCAACAACCCAAGAGACGACTCTACGCATGGACATCACCAGACGGTCAACACAGAAATCAGACTGACTATGTGCTCTGCAGCCAAGATGGAGAAGCTCTATCCAGTCAGTAAAAACTAGACCAGGAGCTGACTGTGGCTCAGATCATGAGCTTCTTCTTGCAAAATTTAGGCTTAAATTGAAGAAAGTAGGGAAAAGCACTAGTCCACTCAGGTGTGACCTAAATCATATTCCTGATGAAAATACAGTAGAGGCGACAAACAGATTTAAGGAATTAGATCTGATAGACAGAGTGCCTGAAGAACAATGGACGGAAGTTCACAACATTGTACAAGAGGTAGCAACTAAAACCATCCCAAAGAAAAAGAAATGCAAGAAAGCAAAATGGCTGTCTGAGGAAGATTTACAAATAGCTGAGGAAAGAAGGGAACATAGAAACAGAGCGAGTCAGAAGGGGCCTCCCGCACCATCTAGTCTGACCATGCCTGTCTGTGTGAATTCAGGATTTATTGGACTTTTTTCTGCCTAAACATGAAACATAGAAACAGAGCGAGTCAGAAGGGGTCTCCGGGGCCATCTAGTCTGACCCCAGCTTCAGCCGGCTCCACTCACAACATGCCCACCATGTGCACATCCAGCCTATCCTTGAACACCCTCACCAATGGGGCCTCAACCCCCTCCCAGGGAAGTCCATGCCATACCCTCGGGGTCCTACCTGTCCAAATGGGACCTTGGTTCCCTGAGCTTGGCTCTGTTGAAGTGCATCCTGCCTTCCTCTGCAGGGGAGAACCGGTCTCTACCCACCTCTATGTGACACCCCCTCCACGTAACCGTATGTTGCCAACAGATCCCCTCTGAGTCTCCTCCAGGCTGAAGAGGCCCAGTTCCCTCAGTCTCGCCTCATACGGCTTCCCCTGCAAACCGGCCACCAACCTTGTGGCCCTTTGCTGAACTGACCCTAACTTGGCTATATCCTTCCTGCAACGAGGGGCCCAGAACTGAGCACAATACTCCAGTTGCAGGCGCACCAGAGTCATACAGAGTGGTAGTAATACCTCTTTCGATCTGGAAGCCACGCTTCTGGCTAAGTAACCAAGGGTGGCGTTCGCCCTCTTGGCCACCGCATCCCACTGCTGGCTCATGTTCAGCCTGCAGTCAACCAGCACCCCGAGGTCCCTTTCACAAGTGCTGCTCTCCAGCCACTTGTCCCCTAACCTGTACTTACAACACCCATTCCCATGTCCCAAGTGCAAGACCTTGCACTTATCCACACTGAACGCCATCCTGTTGTCTCCTGCCCACTTCCATAGCCTGTCCGGATCCTTCTGGATCCAGAGTACCTGCTCCTCAGTTGTGGCCACTGCTGTTCTAGTACCGTCTGCAAAACTGATCAGCAGATGGTCACCCCTTCTTCTATGTCATTGATGAAAAGATTGAACAGGTTCACCCCCGGACAGAGCCCTGGGGGACCCCGCTTGTCACTGGCCACCATCCCGATGATTCCCCACTATCATTACCCTCTGCTTTCAGTTACCCTCTGCTTTCGGTCAGTCAACCATGCCCTAATCCACCGGACAGTGCTTTGGTCTATCCCAAAATTCCTCAGTTTCTCCACCAGGATATCATGTGGCACTTTATCAAAGGCCTTGCTGAAATCCAGGTAAACCACATCCACTGGACCCCCTCCATCCAGCCACCCCCAAACCTTGTCATGGAATTCCACAAGGTTTGTCTGGCAGGACCTGTTTTTGCGGAAGCCGTGTTGTGTGGCCGCCAGCCTCCCTTCCCTATCTAGCATCACTAGATCTCTCTATTATGAGCCTTTCCATTGTTTTCCCTGCAATGGACGTAAGGCTAACTGGTCTGCAATTCCCCATGTCCCTTCTACTACCCTTTTTGAAAACTGGGACCACTGACACCACCCTCCAGTCCTCTGGAACCTCACCTGTTCTCCATGAGGCCTAAAAAATGGAGGCCAGCATGCGTGAGAGAACCCCTGCCAACTCTCTAGGCACTCTCGGGTGTAACCCATCAGGGCCTGGCTCCTTTGGAATGTCCAATGCCCTGAGGAGCTCCTCAACTTCTATGGGGGTGACCCTTATCTGTGCCTCTAAGTCCCCGGCCTCATCTAATCTCATATGCAGATCTCCCCCATCCTGCTTTAGGGAAAACACAGAGGCAAAATAGTCATTTAGCATCTGTGCCTGTTCCCTCATATCAGTCACTGGATCTCCTTCCTCCTTATCTAGTGGTCCCACCACTTGTCTCCCCTTCCACTTCCTATTTACATGCTGAAAGAAGCCCTTTTTGTTGCTCTTGATATTCTTGGCAAGTCTCAGCTCATAATCAGCCTTAGCCTTGCGAAGAATCCTTCTGCAATAGGCCTCCTCCTCCCGGTACACCCTTTTGTCTATTTGCCCCAGTACCCATTTCCTACGGAGGTTCCTCTTTCGTCTAATCCCTCTAACCACCTCCTTTCGCATCCATGGCGGCCTCTCCTCCACCTCCCCACCTTACTGACTAGAGGTATCGTCAAGGCTTGCGCCTCCAAAACCTCCATTTTGAGTGCCACCCACCCCGCCTCAACTCGCTTGCCTTCCAGTAACCTGTCCCAGGAGACTTTCCCCAGTCTGGCCTTCAATGGCCAAAGTTGGCCCTCTTGAAGTCCCAGCTTCTAGTGCTCGACCTGCTGCCCGTCCCCAGTCCCCTGATCTCAAAGCAAAGGATGGAGTGATCACTCGCATCCAGAGCTCCCCAAATCTGTACTTCATCTATCAGCTCCTTTCTATTGGTCAAGACCAAGTCAAGGATGTTTCCCCCCCTCGTCGCCTCTCAGATCCTGTGTGTGAAAAACCCTCCCTCTATAGCTTTTAGGAAGCGGCATGACCTGGCTGTCACCGCCGAGTGAGTCTCCCATCAAATACCCAGGAGATTGAAATCTCCCATAATTACTGTGTCTCTCCCCTGAGATATCCTTAGAATCTGGCCTGTCAGGACATCATCCAGGGTCTCAAGTGGACCTGGAGGGCGATAACATACCCCCACTGCCAGGTCCCTTTCCCTGTCAAAACCCCTAAGTTTCACCCAGACTGCCTCTGCCGAATCCCCATCTGTGCTGCATCCTATCTCACTGCATCCTATCCCTTCCCTGACATATAAAGCCACACCCTCACCTCTCTTCCCCTTCCTGTCCTTTCTAAAAAGGTGATACCCTTCTAGGTTCACATTCCAGTCTTGCCTTTCATTGCACCAGGTTTCTGTGATCCCCACCAGGTCAGACCCTCCCATTCCCCAGAGAACTTCCAGCTCTTCCTGCTTGTTACCCTTGCTCCTAGCATTGGTGTACATGCACCCCAACTCCTTCCCACCGCTCCCTTTCCTTGGAGTCCCCAGCCTCCTCCTTCCTCCCATCCTCCCTGATACCTGGCCCCTCTCTGTAGGAGTCCTGTCAGTCCCTGCAGTACCTCTAAAACCTGCTCCCAGAGCCCTGATCCTCTCCCCACACTTGTCCAGTGCAGACACGTTTCTGGGGGGCCTGAACACTCCCCCTCCTGGCTCAGTTCAAAGTCTTCCAGATGAAGCCCGCTGGAGCTTCTCCAAAGGACCTTTTCCCCAATGGCAGAAAGTGAAGAGGAACTAAAGGGCCTCTTGATGCGGGTGAAAGAGGAGAGCGCAAAAGTTGGCTTGAAACTGAACTTTAAGAAAACTAAGGCCATGGCATCTGGTTCTCTCACTTCCTGGCAAACAGATGGGGAAGAAATGGAGGTAGTGACAGATTTTATTTTCCTGGGCTCCAAGATCACAGCAGATGGGGACTGCAGCCAAGAAATTAAAAGATGCTCCTTGGGAGAAAAGTGATGGCAAATCTAGACAGCATACTAAAAAGCAGAGACATCACCCTGCCCACAAAGGTTCGTATTGTCCAGGCCATGATTATTCCAGTTGCAATGTATGCCTATGAAAGCTGGACCATAAAGAAGGCTGAGCGCTGAAGAATTGAGGCCTTTGAATTGTGGTGCTGGAGAAGACTCCGCAAGTCCCTTGGACCGCAAGGCGATCAAACCGTCAGTCCTAGAGGAGATCAACTCTGACTGCTCTTTAGAAGGCCAGATCCTGAAGATGAAACTCAGATACTTTGGCCACCTAATGAGAAGGAGGGACTCCCTGGAGAAGAGCCTGGTTCTGGGAAGGATTGACGGCAAAAGAAGAATGGGATGGCAGAGGATGAGGTGGCTGGTTGGGGTTACTGGGGCAATGGGTTTGAGCTCAGGTGGACTCTGGGGATGGTGGGGGACAGGAAGGCCTGGAGGAGTGTTGTCCATGGGGTCACGATGGGTCGGACACGACTTCATGACTAACAACAATAACAACAGCAAGCACTCCAATGGCAGAAAGTGAAGAGTATGTATGCTCCTACATTTGCATAGGGATGCAGTACCCCAGTGGGTTAAACTGCTGAGCCGTTGGGCTGGTTGATTGAAAGGTCGACAGTTCCAATCCGCATGACAGGTTGAGCTCCCATTGCTTCCTCCCAGCTCCTGCCAACCTTGAAGTTCAAAAGCATGCAAATGTAAGTAGATAAGTAGGTACCACTTTGGTGGGAAGGTAACAGCATTCCGTGCACTTTGGTGTTCAGTCATGCTGGCCACACGATCATGAAAACTGTCCGTGGACAAACATTGGCTCCCTCGGCTAGGAAACGGAGATGAGCCCCATCTCTACCCTCTTTTTAATGACTTTAATGTCATGGGGAAAACTTTACCTTTATCTTTACATTAGCATACCTGGGCTCTCTGTCTAAAAGCTGCACTCTTAAGAGCTCTAAGCCATCCCTTTCCCTGGATGACCAAAGCCCTGGGCTGGTTTCCTTACCTCCCACAGGTAGATGCTTTCGGCTATACCTGCCAAGATGTAGAGGCCATTGGGAGCAGCTGTCAGGCAAGTCACTGGCTCTGGGCATAGTATCTTCTGCTGGAGCTGATCCTAAAGATACAGAAGAAGAAGGGTGTGTTCAGATGCATCTGACCTAGCAAAATCTCAGTAGGGAACAGACTGCTGCCAGTCCTAAGCCTATGGGTGTGTTTGTGAGGGGACAGCTGCCAGAATGCAGATGGACCGCAGGGGAGTGGAAGAGGAGAAGCTTCGCATGCAGAGTATTCCAGGCTCACTTCTCAGCATTTCCAACCAAACAGGAATGAGGCAGCAGGTGACATAAGGGGTGTCTGTCTCAGGTCCTAAAGAAACATTGACAGGCTGGTCTCAGGTTTGAGAGATCCAGTGTGAAGATTTCACATTCAGCATAATCAGAAAGGGAATGAGAAAGATACTGCTATTGCCCTTAGACAAGGCGTGGGCGCCACCGTGTTTGGAAAGCTGTGCACCAATCCAGTAGACCCCTGCACCTTAAAGAGGATATTGCATGGCTGGAGAGGGCAATGCTGGATGGAGTGAGTCCCCCACCTGAATCAGCCTGCGCATACTTGCAATCAACATCAAAGGCCTTCCTCCGAGCGCAGCTTCCCACAGAGGCTTGCAGGGCAGCAAGAGAGAGGCACCTTTCCAGAGTTACCCTGCCTGATTCCCACCAAATGCCAAATGCACCAGGTGAAGGCTGCCCCCTTCTCCCAGGCATTCATGGATACGGAATAGCACGGTGCAAGGCACTTAAAAGGCTTAATCTGGAGTGAAGTTTTTTGCTCTTATGTTTCTTTAGATATTGTATATGCGAAAACCTGCTCTCACATCCACAACGGGAGGGAGCACCCAAGCCCTCCAAGGGCTCGATGAATTTCGAGGCAAGCTGTGCACAAGCTGAGCTTGGGGCTGATGATGATGATGATGATGATGGTGGGGGGCGGTTCCCTCCTGGAGCAGGTGGCGGCGGGTTCGGGGTTCCCGTCTCGCGCCCCCACTCCGGAGGCAGGCCGCCGCCGCCTCCTCCTCCTCACCTTCCTCTGCAGCTCCCAGGCGCCCACGCAGGACTTGCCCAGCTGCGCCCCCAGCAGGTACTCCCCGCCCAGCAGCGTCAGCCCGCGCGGAGCACAGCATCCCCCGCGGTAGCTAGCCACCAATATTCCGGTGCCCACTTCCCACACCGAGCAGCACCCGCTGCCGCCGGCGCCGCTGCTCCCGGCGCCCCCGCCGGACGAGGGCTCGGCCGCCGCCACCAGCGCCACCTCCACGGGGCCGCCGCCGAAGAACGCCATGATGTCCGCCGCGCCGCTCCGCGCCCCCGCCGGCGCTGCCATGCGCATGCGCGTCCGGAGCACGTGCAGGAAGGCTGCGGAAGGGTCCCGGAGGGGCGACCATAGAGCGGAGCCTGCCAGATAGAACTTCCGCTTGAGAAAAAGCTCGGCGGGGGGAGGAAGCACCATAGAGAGAATGCCCTTCTCCCACTCCCACGTGGTTGGGGCAGGCCGTGTGGCCTAGTGGTGAGAATGCCGGATCGGGACTTGTTGGAGGGCTGGGTTTATGGACTATGGGCCTGTCCCTGACTCTTAACCGAGCCTACCTCACAGGGCTGTTGTGAGGCTAGAGGAGGAGGATTAGGGACACCCCCCTTGAGTTCCTTGCAAGGGCACGAAATAAATGCAATAATTAATCTTAAAGACTCTCCTAGCACTCCAGAGCATTGTCCATGCTGGCTGGGCCCACCATGGCAGTAGATGTTGCTGGACGCAACTAACTTAAATCCTGTTTACTTCAATGACTCTGCTGTACCTAAGTCTTTTATGCAAAGAGGATTGATTTAAAAAGTAGTGCGTTATTACAAGGAACAATGATACTTAAGGACGTGTTTAGACAGAAAGAAATTCCGCAGCACAGCCTTCCCAACGGGCAGAAAAATCTTACAAACAGCAACATTTCCCAACCATCTATGGGTTGTAGCACAATTCTTCCGCATGAACACACATGCATGAACTCCTGCATGAACAGGAGCACACCCTGAGAGCACAATCTACATGTCTAATCAGTTCCATAGTATTCCGTAGGAATGGGACAGTGCATGGCATCAACACATACTCAAGGGCTATATAGATGAGGAACGGCCAGAATGAAGCCACGCTTCCTGCCCACTCTTAAATGATCTTGCTTAAGCATTAAGATCAGGGAATCTACTCTCTGGCCTATGTGCAAGAGCCATGAGGCTCTCTGTGTGTGCACGCACGTGTGTGTGTGTGTGTGTGTGTGTGGGGGGGGGGCAGGCAGGGATGTGACGACAGGGTGGTCCCACCCCCTCAGCACTCTCTGCCCGTGAGATAGGCAGGACCTCATCCCTGTAGGCTTAAAAAATAACCTTTGGACAACATATTGTTTGTTTTTCGGCACCAGGTTAAGACCTTATTATTCCAGCAATATTTTAATAAGTTTTAATATTGTCTTTTCTATATTTTTAACTGCAGTCAGTGTGGGTCGGGAATTTATGTTATACTTTATTTTTTCTTGTAAGTCGTCCTGAGGCTTTTGCAACAGGGCAGCATATAAATATTTTAAATAAAATAATTAAGTAAATTAATAAATCAAATATTGCAGTCTGCACATGGTGCTAAAAATAGTTCGCTCTTGTTGCACATGTGTATGTTTGGGCCACGGCAATTATTAGGCAACTCTGAAGAATCCCAGAAATAGCACGATGAACCACATCCAATCTATGAATTAACTTAACTCTTTTATTGGTTATTACCTCTGTATTAATCTCTGTAAACTTGAAGCAGTACAAAAATATGTTTTCTTTGAGTTACAATGCGGTTCAGGAGATCACATTAAGGGGAAGGAGGCAGATTGCCAACCTCCGTGCAACCGATTTAGTAGTATCACGTTCCAGCAAAGGAAACTCTTTTAATACAGATGGTGGTAGTTGTTGGGGCTCGGAATTTAAGTCAGACAACAGATGCTTATTGGCATTACAGTAACTGAAAGGCTGAAAAATGGCGGGATCTAAGCATGACAGGGAAAACCCGACAGGATTGTTAGAACATGACATGTAACAGGCTGTTGCAGCAGTCGCTTAAAAAGACAGCGCAAGGCAGGTGCAGGGGGGCACAGACAGTCCCTCATGTAAGTTATAAGGTGCATTGTTATGATACGACTGCGCAAGAAGATGTACACTTTCAGGGAACATTGAAAGAACCGGCAGTTGAGATTACAGAACATTTCTGCTCTTGCAGATTCCATCAGTTGGGGAGAGGGGAGGGGGGAGATCTTGGCTAAAACCACGGGGAGAGTCTGTTCCTTTGGAAACGGACCCCACCCACACACCAGAAACCTCCTCCACACTGGCCCTTCTGTGCACGTGAGGATTGCACGGGGCCGTGGTTTGTTCCAAGAGGCAGAGAAGACGGAAGATGATTCTGCCAGATTGGGCTGAGGAAGCAACTGTGAGCACAAGGCTGTGGCGGTAATGTCTGTTTTCCCCTTGCTTGTTCTTCCTCTTCCCCACTCAGCACTTAACCTCTTCTCAGGGTCAGCTTGGCAATGCAGCTGTTCTTACAGGTCTGGTTTCGTACGCTGCTCGGATAGCAAATGAGCTGGCCATGAGTGCCTGCAAGGACTTGTAGCCTTCCCCAAGCTGTGGCCCTACAGATGCGTGTGACTGCCTCTTTTATCATTCCTGCTGGAGCTGCAGTCCAACACATCAGCGGGATGCCAGGTTTGGGAAGGCTGGGCTATGCAGGGTAGCAGTAGCCACACTAGAAGACCTTCTAATGATGTGCATGCCAGAATTATGAGACGTGGAGGCGGCCCTTGGAACTTCCTGCCACAAACAAGTGAACTGCCTGCTCAGGTTTTGCGTACTTGGCTGAAATCGCAGACCGGCACCGTTGGGAGCATGGTGGTGCATGCAGAAGCCCTGTTTGCCCACGCTTGACCTGGTTTCCCCGGCCAGAAGGTCGTCAGCCAAGACAACACAGAAAATACAGATTAGGAAAAGGGAGGGGCTTCTCACTGGCATATAGGCAGCAGGCGAGCAAGGAGGTCCCCACATGAAAACCCAAAAAGCACCAGCTAGTCTGTCTCGTTGTCATCGTCGGTTGCGCTCTGCCCATTCACTGCCGGCGAGTCGTAGGGCGCCTGGTAGAGGTCCTCGAAGTCATGGCTGGTAGTCGGGGAAATGATATCCGGACTGGTGTCACAGGACTCGGTGCTCTGCTCCGAGGTAGCGATGGTTGTGGCGGTGCTTTTGGGGATCGGGTCGAAGTCGTCGTCTTCCAAGATGGGAGATTCGTGGATATCTGGAATGGGCAGGGTGGAGGAGAGGATTTCTTGGAGAATGCCCTTGCCTTCCTTGGCACAGGGTCCAACTTATCCACCACACCGCTTGCAATAGCAGAGCCCCTGGAGAACAGGTTGATCAGGAGCTGCCCTGGCTGGCAAGAACAGCTTCCCAGAGTCACGGGAAGCATTTTTCCTGCCCTTACTGGAGACACTGAGGATCAAACCTGCCCTTTCTGCATGGACAGCAGGGCCCTAGAACTAGACCCCTCTGAGAGGTGAAGGAAGCAACTCGGTGACGGAGAAACGAAGCAGCGAGTAACTATGTCATGAAGCCTGTCTGAAGGAATGTGGAGGGGAGGAGAGAAAAAGATAATTGGATTGAAGGGCAGCGCAGTACTTCCTATCTCATCCTCCCAGTAGTTTCATGAGACGGGGGTCTCAGGGCAAGGTGAAGTGGGAGGGGCGTGAACTAGTGAACTTGTAGTTCTAAGCACTGCAGGCACAATAGGTGGAGGAATAACAACCCACACCCCCTGAATGGACAATGGGCTAATTGTAATGCACACGTGATGCATTTAGATGTATGTAGGGGGATGAAATGGGAGACAGGAAGTAGGCGCACGGAAAGAGTGTTCCCTCCTGGTACCTCACCCAGTGAGGGAAAGGGGAGAACCATGGCAGGTGGATTGAGGGGTGGAAGGAGCTGCCGCGTGTGTTTGTGTTTGGGAGAGATTCCGCTGGAGCAGGCTCTCCCCGCCTAGTGCAGTAAACGAAGGAAGCGCCTCACTCTGCTGGTCACCTCAGTTATTGAACTTGAGGGGAAGTATTTTCGCAACGTTTCGCATAACGGGCAAGCGCCCTCCCTCTTCAAAGGCAGCTTCGAGGCTGTGAGGAGCAGGGAGCAGTGACTCTCCCAAGCTGCCTTCACACTGGAGAGAGATACAGAAATGGAAGCGGCCTTGCAAGCCCTCCCTTGCCCCTGCACCCCAGCACAACACGGCTTCCAGATGAGCGACGGGGGGAGCCCACCTGGTGGCGGCCATCCTGGGGAATGATGGGAGTGGTGGACCCGTGTCCTCGGGCTGCATCCTGATTTTGCCTCCCTCCCCATTCCTTCCTCCTCACGGGCCATGCCTGTTGGCCTGCAGGCAGGAATGGCCTTCTTTAATGATCATTTGTGAGCTGCCTTAGGAGCCTTCGGCAGCGGCTCCAATTGCAATCGGAGAGAAAGCGCGTGTTCGAGATGGGTATACTCACTGCTAAATGCCTCTGGGTACTGCTTTGCTAGCTTCCCTTTCAATGTCCTGCAAAACCCAGAAAGAAATGTAAGACGGCACATCACAAATTCTGCAGCAGTGGGAAGGAAATGAAAGTGAACCATTACTCAAAAAAACAAGATGGGGCACCCCTCTGCAGACTAATCCATCGACCAAGCCCCACTGAGGCCTGTGATTCCACACTAGCTCTGCACAGTGGTGGCTCCTGACCCTGGGATGCCCCTTCCCATCCCAGAAAACGGCGCTGGCAGGGCCTAGCAACGCCTCCAAAACCAGCAAAGGAACCTATGCAGGGCAAGTGTTGTCTAACGGTCAGAGTACTGCGCTGGAGATTAAGCTCATGAATATCACTGGGTAGCTTTGGGCCAGGCAAAGACTCTCAGCCGCATCTACCTCGCAGAGTTTTTTTTGAGAATAAAATGGAGAGGAGGAGGAAGATTATGGAATATGACTTGGACCACTTGCAGGAAAATAGGAGATGTCTAACATTTTAACATTTAGACGCCAGGAAGCACTTCCTGACTGTTAGGACCCCGAGGGTATAGAATGGGGTTCCATGGGAGGTGGTTGAGGCCCCATCAGTGAGGGTCTTCAAGGATAGGCTGGACGTGCACATGGTGGGCATGTCATGAGCGGAGCCGGCTGGTGCCGGAGGTCAGACTAGATGGCCCAGGGGACCCCTTCTGACTCGCTCTGTTTCTATGTTAATACAAGAAATTTTTTTAAAAAAACAGGACTGGCTGGCAGGGCAACCTACCGTGTTTCCCTGAAAATAAGACCTATCCTGAAAATAAGACCTAATATTATTTTTGGTGCTTGCTAAAATATAAGACCTACCCCGAAAATAAGACCACACTGTGTTTATTCCCAGGGCCAGTGGGGAACATGAAGAGCCTTTTTAAACTTTATTTTTTAACTTTAACTTAATGCACTGTGTGGAGGAAACATGCTTATGCAGCTCTGCTTGCTCTGCTCCCTGCGGAGGGAGCAGAGCCACATAAGCCGATGCTTCCTCTGTAGCGCCGGCTCCTGTCACAGGTGGAGTGACACCAAATGTACCAAATGTACATGTATTCATGCCATGAATAAGTGTGGATTGTTTTACACATTAAAAATAAAATAAGACCTATCCCGAAAATAAGACCTAGTGTGTTTTTGTGAGCCAAAAAATTAAAAATAAAAATAAGACAGTGTCTTATTTTTGGGGAAACACAGTACCTGATCCTTCGGAAGATGCTGTCCAGGTCTTTCTTCATTTCGACCAATGTACGGGTGTGATGCAGGAACCGTTCGTTCATCTGCTGCATGCGGACATTCGACAGGTTGTTGAAGTTGAGGAGCATCTCATTGGTTTTCTCAAATCGGTCAAGCCTGGGGGAGGAAGGCAACCAGTTCTACTAGGTGCACGATGCGTTTACTTAAGAGACCTCTGTTCCGCTCTCAGGGGTGCACAGCAACTGCAAAGCAGCTTGCGATGGCACAAGAGCATGGACACTCAATTGCTTTATTTATCTGAAGGAGTTTTATGCATCTCGCCAGTGAAAGGGTGGCTCAGCACCCCTGATTCCTGGGAAAACTGTGAAGTCAAAGGGAGGAATATCTTGAGAACCTTTCAGGGAAAAGTATGAAAGATACTAACAAAACATTTTAATGCTTCTTGCTTTCATGATTAGTAGCAAACACTGAACAAGATGGCAGGAAGTCCTGTTCTTTATCAGGGGAGGACAATGCAGAAAGCCAGGAATACGGGGATCAAAAAGCCAAAGAAAGTGAATGGAGAAGAAAACACATAGCAAATATACACTGGCGCAGGCTTCTCCTCCGTCGTGGATCACTGCTTTATCGTGGTGAAGGGGACTATGTAGCTCAGTGAAGCTATGAGCTCTGCCGTGCAGGGCCACCCAAGACGGACAGGTCATAGCAGGAAGCTCTGACAAAACTTGACCCACTGGAGAAGGAAATGGCAACCCACTCCGGTACCCTTGCCACGAAAACCCCGTGGACAGTACCAAAAGGCAAAGAGATATGACGCCGGAAGAGGTAGCAACTAAAACCATCCCGAAGAATAGCTGAGGAAGGAAGGGAAGTGAAAGGCAAGGGAGAAAGAGAAAGATACACCCAATTGAATGAAGAATTCCAGAGAACAGCTAGAAGAGATAAGAAGGCCGTCTTCAATGAACAGTACAAAGAAATAGAAGAAAACAATAGAAAAGGGAGGACCAGAGATCTCTTCAAGAAAATTGGAGATATGAAGGGAAGGTTTCATGCAAAGATGGGCATGATAAAGGACCAAAATGGCAGGGACCTAACAGAGGCAGAAGAGATTAAGAAGAGGTGGCAAGATTACACAGAAGAGCTATACAAGAAAGAGTTTAACGTCCCTGATAACCATGATGGGGTGGTCTCTGACCTCGAGCCAGACATCCTGGAAGGTGAAGTCAAATGGGCCATAGGAAGTCTGAGCAACAGCAAAGCTAGTGGAGGCGACAGTATTCCAGCTGATCTATTCAAAATCTTAAAAGATGATGCAGTAAAAGTGCTACACTCAATATGCCAGCAAATTTGGAAAACTCAACAGTGGCCACAGGACTGGAAAAGGTCAGTTTACATTCCCATCCCAAAGAAGGGCAATGCCAAAGAATGTTCAAACTACCACACCATTGCACTCATTTCACATGCTAGCAAAGTGATGCTCAAAATCCTACAAGCTGGGCTGCAGCAGCATGTGGACTGAGAAGTACAGGCAGGATTTCGAAGAGGGAGAGGAACTTGAGATCAAATTGCCAACATACGCTGGATCATGCAGATAGCTAGGGAGTTCCAGAAAAACATCTACTTCTGCTTCATTGACTACGCTAAAGCCTTTGATTGTGTGGATCACAACCAAATGTGGCAAGTTCTTAAAGAGATGGACTACCTGACCATCTTATTTGTCTCTACAGAAACCTGTATGCAGGCCAAGAAGCAACAGTGAGAACTGGACACGGAACCACTGATTGGTTCAAAATCGAGAAACAAGTTTGGCAAGGCTGTACACTGTTGCCTTGCCTATTTAACTTGTATGCAGAGCACATCATGAGAAAGGCGGGGCTAGATGAATCATCAGTTGGAATTAAGATTGCTGGAAGAAATATCAACAACCTCAGATGATATGCAGATGATACCACTCTCATGACAGAAAGTGAAGAGGAACTAAAGAGCCTCTTGATGCGGGTGAAGAAGGAGAGCGCAAAAGTTGGCTTGAAACTCAACATCAAGAAAACTAAGATAATCGTATCTGGTCCTATTACTTCCTGGCAAATAGAAGGGGAAGAAATGGAGGTAGTGGCAGATTTTATTTTCCTGGGCTCCAAGATCACCGCAGATGGGGACTGTAGCCGAGAGATTAAAAGATACTTGCTCCTTGGGAGGAACGCTATGGCAAATCTAGATAGCATACTAAAAAGCAGAGACATCACCCTGCCAACAAAAGTGCATATAGTCAAGGGTATGGTTTTCCCAGTTGCAGTGTATGGCTGTGAAAGCTGGACCATAAGGAAGGCTGAGCACCCAAGAATTGAGGCCTTTGGATTGTGGTGCTGGAGGAGACTCCTGCGAGTCCCTTGGACCGCAAGGCGATCAAACCAGTCAGTCCTAGAGGAGATCAACCCTGAATGCTCTTTAGAAGGCCAGAGCCAGTGTGGTGTAGTGGTGAAGAGCATGGGACTGGGACTCAGACGATCCAGGTTCTAGTCCCCGCTCAGCCATGGAGCCAACTGGGTGACTTTGGGCCAGTCACAGACTCTCAGCCCAACCTACCTCACAGGGTTGTTGTGGTGGGGATAAGATGGAGGAGGAGAATGATGTAAGCTGCCTTGAGCCCTTTGTAGGAAAAAGGCAGGATATAAATTGGAAAATAAAATAAATAAATACTGAAAATGAAGCTCAAATACTTTGGCCACCTAATGAGAAGGAAGGACTCCCCGGAGAAGAGCCTAATGCTGGGGACGATGGAGGGCAAAAGAAGAAGGGGATGGCAGAGGATGAGATGGCTGGACGGAGTCACTGAAGCAGCTGGCGTGGGCTTAAGTGGCCTCCAGGGGATGGTGGAGGGCAGGATGGCCTGGAGGAATGTTGTCCATGGGGTCGCGATGGGTCAGACATGACTTCGCAACTAACAACAACTACAGCAAGCTTCCCATCACTCACATATTCTTCTGAGCCAGGATGATGGCATTCACATCTTCCGAGTTCACCATGCTGAGCACTCGTCCACAGAAGACGCCCGAGGCTGTGGGCTCCATCTTACCTGGGGCAGACTATCTGACAAAACAGTGGGGTGGGAAGAAGAAAGGTATCAGAGGGTTTTCAGCACCAGCCTTGGGGAAATGAGAAAGCCAGGTTGTTGTAAAGGAGCAGCATCCACACAAGTGGGCACCTTTAAAAGAGAAAAATCTAGTTTGCCCCCAAAAGTAATTTTTTTTTTTTCTGGCTCGATGAAAACGTTCATCATTTTGGGTCCACCTGGGGGAACACTGACAAGGGGTTTGTGCACGTGCCCCAGTGGAACTGCTTCTCCCGGGCGAGAGACAGAAAGGCAGTCAGCAGTGGAAGGGACCCCAGCCCTCCCACCATCTCAGGCCCTTTCTTCAGCCCGAGCTACACAGCGAGTTCACGGTATCTTCCCCGCAGCCAGCGCAGGAGTTCATTTCCCTGAAGAGCCTCTCCCCAAAACAATCCAACGTGCTCCTTGCCAGGGCTCCTTCCTGATCCAGGCCAGGCCAGGCCAGGCCAGGCCAGGCC